GACATAGAAAACAAATATGGTTACCCGCAGGGGAAGGAGGTGGGAAAGGATAAATTGGGCGTTTGAGATTTGCAGATACTAATATATATAAAATAGGTAAACAACAAGTTTAAAAAAATAGGTGTTAATTAACTAAATAGAATCTGTGGGATTTCATAGGTACCCTCGTGCTGGAATATTCATGTGCCTTGCAGACTTCACGACCTCCTCAAACCTCTCCATGCTTTCTTCAATTGAACAGTTGATATTTTTCTTGCTGAAGGATTCAGACGCAGCACCAAAAACTGATATCTCAGTGGCTCCAGCAGCAACCTGAAAAATATAAATAAGGCAAAAGCTAATAATTTCAAGCATATAAATGGAGCAGCAGGAGAAATATTAACTACTCTATAAAAGGATACTTGTATTCTTGAACATTTCCCTTAGAATTGAGACTTAGATTTCTCTCAACTTGCCACATACACTCTCACCACTTCTATTCAGTATAGTCTTGGAAGTCCTAGCCATAGCAATCAGGCAAGAAAAAGAAACACAAGGGATCCAAATGGGAAGAGAAGAGGTAAAACCATCATGAACACTCTTGAAATGTAAAAATATTTTCTAGTAACAGAGTAACTCCACAAACTACTACATTCATAAATCTATGAGGCACAAAAACACAATGATGATGCTCCAATTTAATTTTGCCTTTGCTCAGAGTTATCCTCGTAAATACTTTAACCCTAATTATAGAAAATACTAACACCCCAATAAAACCACTTAATATCTAAGGAATACATTATTTTTATACCAATTATGAAAATAAAAGGTAGTAAACACTTTGTTTTTCTTTTCTTCTTACAATCCAACAGAGAAATGTTTTTCCAAGTCATCATTTAGATTGTTCCCCGAATTTTATACCTCTCTCTTAACCCAGCTTCCATTGTTTCATACCTTGACCACTACAACCAAACTCCTGTGTGTCTAATCCTCTCGCCCGTCTTTAAATCCAAAATGTTGACTTAATCAATTATCTTTCTGCCTCTTTTGCCCTCTTCCCTCCTCCCTCTAGGCTTGCCCAGTGACTTGTTTTCAAAGGACAAGCCTCCCAGTTTTCCAGCTGGATTTTTAAGACTTTCTATTACCGTATCTCTAGCACAGTGTCTGGATTCCCCTTTCTCTCTGATACCCTATTCATACAATAAGAAAAAAAAAAACTATCATCTTTCCTCCAATGTTTAAAAAACAATTAGCTTCCACTCCTCCATCCAAAATAAATTTTTAGCCTCTCAAATTAAAATCCTATTTATTGAGCACCTACCAAGGGCCAGTGCTGTTGCCAGGGCTTCTCATGCCCTATTTCTAATCCACAAACAATCTTGTAAACTAAGTATTATTATGCTGATCTTCAGATGAGAAAACGTGACCCAAAGAGGCTAAGCTGCTAGCAGGAGGTCCCAATGCGAGTAAAAGTTCTGGAGCTGTGTTTTGGATACAGGCTTGCCTGCCGAGCTCCCAAGCCAAGATTTGTTTCATTACTTCCTATGATAGGGTGTCCTCTCATATCTTTCATTTCTTACTGTGTTATGAGCAGGTGATAGCAGTATTTACAATTTTTTAAATCTTTTTTTTTAAGTGGGGTAATTGGGTTTTTATATTTAGTTTTTGTTTTAATAGAGGTACTGGGGATTGAACGCAGGACCTCGTGCACTCTAAGTACATACTCTACCACTGAGCTATACCCTCCTCCTCGTATTTACAATTTCTTAAAAGACCTCTTTTTTTTCTTTATAGTGCAGTAAAAGATGCATCAACTCAAACAGCAGAAAAGTGATTTAACAAGATTCATCAATGAGCAGCCCCAACCCCAACTTCATGGAACACAGTCCCAAATACAAACGTGAAAAACATCCATTAACACCAGAAATTGCTGCTGTCAAACTTTTACAATGAAGTCATGTAAGCATAACACCTCAAGCCTTTACTTAAAACTGCACTGGTTCTTCTAGCATGTGTAAGTATTAAAGCTCTTTGGCTTCTAAATTCCTAAGTCACATAAAGATTGGGAGAAACAAGGCAGAAGACAAGCAAGGAGAGTTGTTAGAGGCAGTTCCAGTGACTGATTAGCTTCACGGAGATGGCGGGGACGACACCAGTGGGAAGCTGATCCCAAAAAGGAGACAAAAATAACTACCTGCTATTTTATAATATTAATGATTATAATACCTATTGAGAAATGTGTGTTATCTTTTGTATTTCTTTTTTAAGAGGGAAGAACAAAATACACTTGCAAAAGCACTTTACCAAAATGGATAATTAATTGACGTATAGTCAGTTTACAATGTGTATATATATATATATATACATTTTAAAAAATGGTTAATTGTATTCCTGTGTTTTGATTGTTGAATGGTTAGGCTGGAAGAGCCACGTGTGTGGAGCATTTTAGTCCCCAGCAATGCCATGAGGTCACCCAACTCCACGAACCCATGTGAGTATATTAGTGGTAGCATTCACACAAGATAACAAGGGAGTCACGTATAACACCGTTTTCACTTCGTAAAGGTCTTTACAACACTAAGAAGCATATCAATGTTAGAAAATTTTCATAGTATACTTACAGCACGGTGGAAACCCTGAAGATTAGGAGTCAGGACAGGGTACCGGATTCCTGGATATTGACGAATGCCTTTCATCACTTCTGTGTGATCAGCCATCTTAAATACACCATAGTTACAGAAAGAAATGTTACCTTAAGTATTCTGTCAAGCGTGTCTTTAGCTTTCCAGGAAGGTTATAATTATGCATGCAACTATATTCTATAAATCAATGTTTGAAATAACAAAACCGTGCCAGTGTAGCTAGAGCTAAGGAGTTCTCAATGTCATAAACACGTAATAACTCGATCTGGGTTTAACGTATTCACAGAACAGCATCTGGTTAAGTGCAGGATTACAGATAGTCAGGAATTCTGAACTCTGGTGTTTTCCCTTAACTGACCTCTCTTCGCCTCCTTTCATTTCACAGCCAAGCCTGCAACACCCCTGAGAGAGGGGGGAGTTTGGAAGGCAACAGGCTATGCCTTTTCCTTCCACATGAAAATTTTATGTCCAAATAATTTTCAACCTATGAAATTTTACAATGTTTAGTAAAATGTAAATTACACATATCCATTAGAATAATTGAACAAGTCAGATCCTATGACATTATTGGTTTTAGTTAGTAATAGTCATAACACTTTATGTGGTTCTTTTATCAAATTACTCTTTGTCCTCATAACGTGAACAAATAAATACAACACAGCACACTACAGGAAAAATTTAACTCATCCTGCCAAGACTTCTTTTTTCTATATTTTCTATGAATTTATTTTAAAAACCCACTTTGAATTAAAATCTCAAATTTACCAGTTTGCCACAAAGTCTATAATTTAGCCTCCTGGAGCAGTAACTGATAATCAAAACCCATAATCATCACACTGAGAGATTACCATTGACATAACCATGAGCTTTGCAAACTGAAGAACAATAAATTATGCCATGAACAATAAATATAAGGAATAATATATAAGCAATGAAAAGTATATAAAATGAACATGGAGAAAGCTGTAAAAACATGTACCGAACCAACATTTGTATCTTTGTACGGGAGTGGCTGAGGAAAGACTTGTTTTGTTTTTTTTTCTCTATACACCTTGGCTTGTTAAACTAAGCACAGTGTTTTTAGTTTAAGGTGAAATAAAAGTAAATTAAAGGATAAATGCTTTTCTTAATCCATTACACATTTTTTAAAATATGAAATGTTGCAGCATGTATGTACTCTTATCGGTCCATTGGTCTTTGTGACTCTGTTAGATGCCAGTAGAATTCAACTTAATAGTTTCAGTGAATATCATTTCAATGAATTAAATGAATTTTTAATACATTTTAAGTTTAAAATTAAGTACTTAAGATGCAAAAAAAGCACCTGCCATCATGCCTCGCTGACATTTAAGTTTCTGTGTTTCATTCGACCCAGACACATTTAATTTTGACTAAAACGTGATTCTCACTCACTTATTTCTTAGGGATTACAGCCACCGTCCTCCATCCCAAAGCCACATCCTTTACAAAGATTATCCACCACAGTCATCTACGCTGCATGAAAGCCAAGTCTCCTTTGAGTCTAAGCGTATGTGACTTTAATCCAGAGGTTTATTGACCATCTTCTATGTCTAACACCCTATGCTAAGCCCTGGGGGAAATAAAAATGCAGGAAAATAAAGTCCTTGCACTGAATGATTTGCAGTATAGTTGGGGAGATCAAATAGATGCATTTGAAAAGTCCACAACTCAATGAAACAGACTGAGAGAACAGCTTAAAGGGGTTCAGGGCGGGGAAAGGTACGCAGTGTACTGAAGTATAACTATAACAGTCCAGGGAAGTGGAAATGAGCATATGGGATACAGATTACAGTCCCCGAAATGGCCACAACAGTATTTCCAATCCCACATGCACTTTGAGAACCTCCATCCAGAAATGGACTGTCTTTTCCTTCCACTTGCCCCTGGGCAGGCTTGTGGGTGCTCTGACCAACAGAGCACACAGAAATAATACCCTGGGACTTCCAGCGACTAGCTTAGGGAAAAAAAAGTACAGCTTCTATATGGCTTCCTTCTTGGGGGACGCCACCGTTGGAAAGTCAGCTGATTTGCTGTGAGAAGGACTGGCTTCAGCAGAGAGGCCACAGAAAGAGGCGCACGTGGAGAGACTCACGTGGAGGGGAAGTGAGACCCCCAGCCAACAGCCAACAGCCAACAGCACCCCCTAAACTTGTGACTGAAGGAGCTTCAGATGACGTTAGCCTGCGGTCCCAGATATTGTGGACTAGAAAAACCTGGCCTGGATGCTGTCCAAATGCCAACCCTAAGACTTCGTGAGCGTGGCAAATGTTTATGTACACCACTACATCCTCAAGAGATTCATCACAAAGCCACAAAGGCTGACACACTGAAAAGTCAACAGGGTTGGAAAAGAGGAAGGGGCGGGTGCAGCCGTAGGAAGGATTATTGGTAAATAATCTAGGAAGAGATTATAGATTAAGACAGGGCCACGCACTGTGATGTGTCTTTGAGTTAGGAACTCAGGATTTATTGTGAAGACCTTAGAGAGCCATGAAGAGTGGAGTGTTGAATTAGCAGAAGACTGGGACAGATGCAGTAGTTCAGAAAGTTAACCTAGGAGAGGTGCCGAGGGCAGTCTAGAGAGAAGAGACGCAATTCTCAGGCCATGCTGACAATCCAGATTGTGACAAGTTCCACTGGAGAGAAACAAATCTGGGAGTAGAGCTCCCAGAGAAAAACCAATAGGGCACAGTGGCTGGTATAAGGGAGAGGACTCCACTCAATGTGTAATCTTCACTGATTTATAGCTTCTTTTAAAACAGTTGCCATTTGTGCGTACTTCAACACAGGTTTGATTATAAATCTATGAATTTAGACTTTGTGCCTGAGGTTAGAGTGTGAGCTCTGTCTCTGTCTCTCTCTCCTCCTCACACATACACATGGATACACAAACATGCACTCACAAATTATCATAAAAAGTTTAGAGCACTTATTCCTAACTGCAATCAGAAAGAAAAGCCAAGTTACCACCAGTTTTAGGACACTGTAATGACATCTCAAATAACACTCTCTTACTAGAGAATAATGCTAATTGATACAACTAACACTTATGTCTAGCTGAATATAATATGTTTAAATATTTATGAGACACATTTACTGTAATAGGATAACAGAAATCAGGGAGAACTGCTTCTCTAACCAACACACAGATGTGGATAAGCTCTGAAAGAATTATCCCAGCATGAAGGGGACAAGGCATATTTTAATCTTCAAGAAATATAGGTCATACTAACACAGAAGTGATGATTTCACGCTATGTGTCATTTGACGAAAATTCTGAAACATGATGTAGAAATTTATGTAATGAAACAGTGACTTAATGGATGGTTCAATCAGTAGAAATATAAAAGAAGAAGAAATGGGAGGAACCAAATTCCCAGGTCATGAAAGCTAAACTTTGATAATCATTGAAGATATCTTAATAAAATGATGATAAATACGTTCATTAGAATCCAACCAATCAGTACTTCCTTCTTTTAAAAAAAATAGCCACAGTATAATGAGGTTATTTAAGAAATAACAGTATTCTGTTTAAATTTGGTCAATAAAGACAATTATGTAAAGAGCTTTAGGAAACCATGATAGGATATAATTTTGTTACAGTGAAAAAAAGAGAGCAGGTTTCAATTAAAGGTACAAAATCTCTGCTTTTTTCTAACTCTTAGGGAGTTTATGTTATACTTCCATCTTGATATTATTTTAATGTCTAAAGTTTAACTATTATTCAAACAATAACAGGACTATCCCTTTACAGTTCTATTTTGGTATTTTAAGAAAACCTTTCTACATCTGGTTTGAATTAACATATATTTAAGATTCTGCTGTGACTTTTCATTTAAGATCATAAAAATCCCCATTATTTGGTTGGTAACACGATTTGCCATCATCTGGCCATGATATGGGAACAGAAACACTTAGCTAACCAAACAGGCTGTACGTATCCTGGATGAATCAGTTTCGCAGGTATCCAAACACTGATATGGATTCAAATAATCACAATTTTAGAGCACAATCTGGAAGCATCTCAAAGATATGCAAAGGGTCACAAAATTTAGAATGTAAAAGGCATATACTTAGAGGTTTTATTTCACTTGCTACTAACTCCATCATGGGGTGATTATATATGGACACTCCACATTATATGTATTTAGACATCTTACTAATGCTCTGTCATTATCTGAATAGTATACTATTATGCTTCTAGAGAGCAAAGGCATTAACTGAGTGAAAAGGCAGCCTACAGATTGGGAGAAAAAACTTGCAAGCCATATACCTGATAAATGGTTAATATCCAAAATGTATAAGGAATACCCTCAACTCAACAGCAAAAAAAAAAAAAAGAATAGATGACGATAATAACCCAGCCAAGAAATGGGCAAAGGACTTGACTTGTCTCCAAAGACAACACACAAATGGCTGAAAGACACACGAAAAAATGCTCAACATCACTAATCATCAGGGAAATGCAATTTAAAACTCACACTGTGATTGAAACAGTCAATATTTTATAATAATTATAAATGGAACACAACCTTTAAAACCTGTGATTCACTATGTTGTACAGCTGAAAGTTATATAATATTATACATCAACTATATCTCAAAAAAAAAACCCCACAATGTAACATTATCTCACACCTG